CGCGGCTCAAAGAGATTGACGGTGAATTTGTGTTTAAACGAAAACAGCACTTGCTTTCTGTCAGAAAGGTTTAAGTGGGGCGAGGGATAACGTGTTATGAACCTCCTCACTTTGATAGATTAAACATAACCAGCTATGCTAATGAGTTCAGTAATTAACTACTGCTCCTATTACTTACAGGGCTTAATCGAATCATTAGGAAACATTTCATTTTCTTCTGGGTGTCAACACACTTGTCTTGACATAACACGGTTGGTATTAATAGAAACACAGAGAAATAGGAGTGCAAGCTATAAAATAAATAGAACCTGATTAAAATGCAACCCGAAACTCAAAACTCTAATCAAAATCATGTGCTGTAAAGATGAAACATAATATATTCCATCATCAAACATAGACAGGACAACACGCGCAGACTCTTAATTTATGCTGTAAGCTACGATGTAGCTGATGCTCAAAAATGGACATGACTGTGTGTGGACTGCAAGAGCTGTGATTGGCTACTTGTGTTTTCCCCTACATGTTTCTGATGCTGGTAGAGATTGTTGAGAGTGAAGATAACATTAGGGAAGTTACCAAAACTCTTACATCTGTGTCAGGCATTGCAGTAGGGATGCGTTATCCCCACTGCAACATCCCCGTGTTTTATGTTTTTATCAAGATAATGTAGTTACCATTTACATGTGAATGTCAAATCTATCTCATGTGAGGAGGGAAAAAAATCTGTTGCAGTGTCAAAAAAGCCCCTGCAACTCTACAGTGTGACTTGAATAGATTTAGTCTATCCAGTTTCTTACACTGAGTGCAGGATTGATTAAACTACGAGCCACAGTATGCTGTCCCTGTTGCAGCACTGTACTCTACAGTAGATTGGACTGTCCACTGTAATTCTCAACAGTAATTACTCTTCAGAGCACAGTGGAACAGTAAATTCATCAAAAATGAGAACAGCCCATCCCATCGCTGCTCAACACAATGTCAACTTTGATGAAAGAAGCAGTTCTTTACGTTATTAATGTTGCTGTGCAGCGTGATTAAAAAAGACACAACACACTGCGAGTTATTGACGTTCCATTATTTCCACTGATGATGATGGTGTCACAATGTAAAAACCCTTTAGAAAACATGTGACGCCTATGCCAGTATGAATGACTCATTCTAATGAGGTTCAGATGATATTTTCTTCATTTTCTGAATGCTTGAATAAAAAGCCATATCACACACCTGAGCCCACTCCAAGCCAAAGTAGCCGAAAACCCATGGAACAGAATAACAGCAGATGAGACCTGGACTTATTGAACAAAGCTGCTTAATGGACCGTTAAAGCACTCTGTTCTTATTTGTAATTCTTTAACCTCTTCGAAACAGACACTTATTTCCAGGAAAAATGCCTAAAATAACATACCCAAAATGAATCAGTAATAACTCCTCAACCTTTAGGCCTAGATGCATATTCTGGTCTCCTTTGATAGGTCAGAAGCTAAGGAATATGAATCTGTAAATGAACCCATTTATTTTGCTATTAAAGAGTAAATCGAGATGCAATGAAGGAAAATATATTTTTATCCTCGCGGGTATAAAATCTATATTTTAATACCAATATCACCATCAAAACCATCATCCTGTAGCTTATAATGCTAATGAATATCTTCTAATACACCAGGCATACAACTGTAAATTTGACGAAAAGAAACTTTTCACCAAATTTTTGATACTCAAAAGATAGAGTATTCTTCTAACGTTAAAACTGTCTGGAGGGGGGCTTTAATATGTGTGTGGATTTGTGTGCCTGATCACAGGTGTTGTTGGTTAGTTTTGGTAGTTTTTGGTGAAAAGGTGCCACAATCACATCTGAAGAGTTTACCTCCCCAAACATAAGACACAAACGAGGAGGGAAGACTAAATCACGTGTGTTGACTCAGCAGGGATGATATTAAATAAGTTGATCTACAGGTGAGACATATTTAAAAGCAATAAAGAATGCCTGAGAGCCTCACTGCATTATATTATATTATATTCATATATTTTGAATTGGTACCTGCCACCTAAATTTCGTGTTTCCCTTTATAGAAATAATTTGTTATTTATTCATAAATTGGTGCAGAAATTATAGCAAACATTTCCACCAGAATGCAGGAAATGAAGTCTTTAATGTTGAAAATCTTCTGGGGATGGCCCACCCCTCATTTAGATGCTTGGTGTTTGAGTGTGTTTGGTGTGGATAAAAATGGTTGATTTTACGTTCTAGCTGAGCCTCCTAGCTTCACAGAGGTGTGTGGCATGCATAGGGTGTCAAAATAGAAGGATTTCTCTTTTGCAATTAGCGCAAACATCAATCGTCCTGTCCGATATCGGCAGGTCCGTGCTTAACAGCATCATGCAAAAACTGTTGCTTTTCCTCTTCGATATAAATTACAGGAACTAATTTCTGTGTAAGATGAATATCTGTAATAAGATGAGATTAAAAATATATTTGGGTTCTAGTAAGCCATGAAAGATAACAGATCACACATCATGAATTCTCATTTTAGTGTTTTGGTGTAGGCTGCTGCATTAATATTCAATGTAAAAAGCTAAAAATCGAGATCTACTTTAAATGTTCACAAAGTGGCTAAATTTGTCTTTTACCACGTCCAGATCTCAGTTTTAATGAGCATCGATTCACACCTTGATTAGGAGTGTTTCTGTGATGCAGACATTGAGGATGCAGGTTGCTGCCCCAAGGAAAGACAGTTAAAGAGACTAACAACAGGAGTGCAGGTTTAATTAGGCCTTACTGGACCACAACAAACTCAACTACTTAACAAAATGCAAAACCACCTCTACTTCTCTCTTATACACCAGGGAGTCTGGAATTAAATCACTTCATTGCCAACCTCCAACACAGTCAACTTACTCTGTGACCCAAAATACTATTAAATATGTCACAGCTACCTCTGTGGCTCTCTGGAGCTGAAGGTTTACACAAGTTTGAATGATGAATTCACAAGAAAATGGGTTACAGCTACATCAGTTCTTAATAGTACTCTAAAAGCTGAAGACAATGGAACGATCCCTTCATGCAGCAACTTATAAATAGATTGTTTTGTGCCATTCAGTATTACAATTGTTGACTGCTGCTCTGCCTGATAAACTGATGTGTCCTGAGGATAACAAATACCCACATAGAGAAATTATGCCTCTTTTCTGATTTAATCAGCAACCTTTCAAACAATGTGGCTGCTGAATAAATGCTTCACATTGTTTTCTCAATTTTCTTCCCATTTTCTTTATCCCAGTGTTTACAGCAGGCAGACAAGGATACAAGGAGGAATAATAAAATACACTTGTGGCAGTGCGCAGCATTCATCGCCCTCCTAATTGAGGTGTCATAGAATCCTGTTTGCACAAATTACATTTTGGTATCTGGTTTAATCACATATGGGCTGATTGGGGATAAATTGAAACTTGAAAGAGAAAACCCAAACTGTAGAGACACATGTAAGAAACATGTTTAAACATAACAAAATGTCCATTAGAATAGCAATAAAGCTACACAGAAATGGTGTCTTTAGGTATGCTGTGGAGAAACTACGAACACACAGATCAATGGTGGACAAGTGGATTATGTTAAAGAATTATTAGAGTTTTTGTTGGATTGGAATTCATTGTAACATTTGTAAATCCAAGCTGTCTGCAGATGCTGTTCACTGCGAAGGACGCAGAGCCACTTTCACTTCTAGGGGTATTTTTGATACTCAAAAGATGGATTATTCTCCTAAAGGACAGGTGTTTTTTTGTTGCTTGTGCTGTGTTATTGTGTTATGTTTTGTTATTGTGTGACTTTGGTGTTTTAAAGCTTTAAAAACACTAAGGTTTCACAATAACACAAGCAAACTAACCAACCAAGGCAGTGGTAAACCAGAGAGGTACAATTACTGTTTTTGTCAAGGGAGTCCGGTGGCTTGACGAGAGAGAGGAAGCGACTGTTTCTGGTTAAACTAAAAGGTCTTTCTCTGTAGGGATCCTTTATAATAACAATCAGAGCCTGTCAATGGCAGAAACAAGCACTTCAGTTGACATACTTTGACAGGGCGCAATTGCCTGCAAGGATAATGTTGCAACCTATTTTTGCTGCCAATTGCAGCGTTCACTCAATACTGGACCAATTGTTAAAAAATGTTTTAGTCACATAGACACAAAAACATTTGGTTGAAAAATACTGTAGGTACCCTTTAACCAACTGCTGCCAGAACCCAAACATAACTATAAAAAAAGTTTAATAATGCTATATTCACTACAAGTGGATACTGTATTGCACAACCAACATGGGAGTGTCTTAGTATGGAGTCAGGCCACCACGAGCCTCCAGAACAGCTTCAATGCTATTTGCCTACTTGACACATTCAGTATCAATATTTTTGAGACATGCCACATACGTTCATTAACGACATTCCTTATTATGTTGATAAAAAGTAAATAAAATGCAATCTGGGTTGCCATATCAGTGATTTTGGCCTGGTAGCGTCAAATTGGAACCACATGTCATGGCATCACCCACCCCTACTACCCAGATTTAAATCTTTGAAAAGAGGTCATAAATATTTCTTTCATTTCCAAAAAAAAGGAGGAGAAACAAAAGTAAATAGTGAACTGGGGACTATTTTCAGATTAATCCACATTTGGTACTCTAGTGAGTATTTATACTGTAACTGCAGGATGGTGTTTGTGTGATTGAGTCAAAATAAACTGCAGTGTGCGTTATAGTAATGGAGGAACATGTCATCATCAACAGGGCGAGTCACTGATGTGTTTTTTATAGTTTTTGGACAACAGTGGAGCTCTATGGCACAGAGGAAGATTATATATCAGGCTTTATACACACACACACACACACACACACACACACACACACAATACTTGTTAGTACGATACATTCATTGTTACTTTAGTTTTAAATTTTGTTTGCAGACATTAGTGTAGTTAACAGTATACAGTATGAACCGAAGCCAGCTGCTCACCATCCCGTGTTGAACTCCACATGGGCGTCAAACAGAGCGACGACGGGAGCAGAGGCGGCCCTCCACCCGCTGACTCTGGACCTGATTAGTCCTTCCTGCTTGTCGTGGTGGACCACCTTGATGAACCCCGGGCTGTGCTGAGCGTTGGTCTCTTCCACAAAGCTCTGCAGGTGCTCTTTCAGCTCAGCTGGAGAAAGGGCGACACACAAACACACTTTAGACATTAAAGCACACTCACTGAAGCCTGTTGCAGCATTGAAATTAATAACAAAGCTCTACAGAAACTCCCTCGGCTCCACTGGTTAGAGAAAAAGCCCTCTGTGTGTGTCTGTGTGCCACCAATGCTTATATGTGGTGTGTATTTACACTTTTAGCCCTATTTCAATTTCTGTTCAGTTCAATTCCTCGCCCTGACGTACGGTCAAGGTTTCTGATTTTGAAGTAGAATTCCCTGCTTTCATAACACAAGCTTTGATTACTCTTCATACTGGCTGTTAACATTTCATTTAGTTAGGGTATTATCCATTTGTTGCGACAATAATACACATTCACATATCATGATGCAGAGCTTTGGATACACAGCAATTACATTATCCATATTCAACGGACAAACATGGTGAATGTACATAAATCCAAATGCTAGTGCAGTGGGAGGCTGAGCAGCAGGGAGTGGTGTAACAGCAAGTGCTGACCAGAGCATGCAGGAATAGGTTGAACAAGGAAGTGTAGCACTGTAAGATTTAGCAAATGTTTAAAATGAATAGTCTGGGTGACACTAAAAGTTTTACATCCAAATTAGTAGTTGTGTAACACTGTATCGCCAAACGTATGTGGACAACCCTGCTACATGTTTTTGTCTCGCTCTGGGGCTGCTTTGTCATGGTTTGGGCTTGGTCCTTATGTCTAATTTCAAGAAATCTTGAATAGAGGCTCCACTGATTTTACACATTAGGTGTAGTTTTGTCATGGGGAGTACTACTCAGCCTGTAAAAACAGCTTTTTCATTTGCTATGTAGTTCTGGAAGGAGCCTTCTGAAGTCTGAAAAAATAACCCTGATGTCATTATCGGAGTTATCACGGCTTGACCCTGAATGCTGCAAATTTTACACACACAAAGCTTGGGTTACAAATTGTGGTGTGGCGTTTGAAAGACGTGGGAATTTACCAGGCATGGGAAGCCCAACAAAAATGCTCTTGTGTTGGATTATAGGAAATGTAGGGACAAGCGTTTTTGCAGCTTGACCCATACTTAAGTCTAAACATTAGGATATGGCAGCCTCTGTTGTATCGATATTTTGTGCTTCCAACTTTGTAGTAACAGCTTGGGGGGGGAGTCTCTTTCCTGTTTTAAATTGACAGTGCCCCATGACCCATCTAAAACCTTTGGGATGAATATGAACGCAGACCGTATCACCCAACATCAGTGTTTGACCTCAATAATGCCCTTGTATCTAAACAGGAGCAAATCCTTGCAGCCAGGTTTCAAAATCTGCTGGAAAAGCTGAAACCAGAAAAGCTTTTGCTTTTAGCAGCAGATTAATACCCATGGTTTTGGAATGAGTTGTTCAACAATCATGTCATATGAGTGTAATGCTTGGGTGTTCACATAGTTTTGGCCATATAGTGTAATTAGGTTCAAGTGTGGCCTGGTTTAAATCCTGTCTGATCTGTCCTGTGGTTTCTCCCTTTGCACTTCTTCTCTGTGTCATCTGCACATCTTACATACATTATTTAAAAACTAAATGTTAATGTCAGCATGCTACAACACTTAAATTGCTAACATACTAATATTTTGCAGGAATAATGTTTACCGTGATCATCTTCCAAGTTTAGTAGCATACTACCATTTGCTAATTAGAAGTGGAGACAACATTCAGCTGATGTCACATGGTACAGCAATGCCAAGAGTTTTGTAGATATTTGATTAGAAACCAAAGTATTTTTCCAAATTGTGCCCTGATGATGAAGCTAGAGGAAAACCACCAAGGTCATCAATCCATCCAAGAGATTTCTAAGTCTGGAGCAATCAACTTAATGAAAACCAACTCAACTTACTGACCGGCCACTATTGCCATCCCTAGAGCTCTAACAAAAAAAGAAGCAAAAAAGTACTTTTGTATGATGAAAGCATTTTCAGCTCTAGACTTTGTGGCATTTTCATCTAAATACTTGTAGCAAAACAATTAAACACTGTTTTTTTTTGCCATGGAAACAGCATCAGCAGATGCTTCCACATGATGTAAGAGCCCTAAAGGGTTCATATTGAAAAATAAAAACTGATATGCTGTCACATAAATAACCAACAGATACGGTAACCACACACACATTCTTTGAATATGTTAAGATTATGGCATTGTTTTTTCCTTGTGTTGCTGTCTTTCTTCATGAGTAATTTTATATATGCCTTGCACACATTCAGGGAGACAGACAGACACACGCACACACTCACTCAGACTGCCCACTGTGAACAGCGAACATCTTCATTTCCTCATTGTGATTTCTCTGTGTTGTAAAGCTGCCTGCAGGCTATGGCTGTTGCCTTCCCTCTCTATTCATTATTACCATCAGCCTGGATTCCTTCTCTCTGTTTCCCTTTAATGAGCCACAGGTTGTTGCTGACCTGGAAGAAAGATGGGCTCATTTAAAACTGGAGTTGGGAGTATTTGAAGAGCACTTTAATTTGTTACACGTCCGTGTGAGATTACTCCCGAACATAAAAAATCAAGTCATTAAATCAAACGCACCTGCAGTTACCCTATTCATTTTCAGACGTCTGCTCCCTGCTGTGAAATATGTTTTTTGCTTGAATGTAGCTGACAGGCTGAACAACAGGAGCCCTGTTTGCCTTCTGTCCATCAAAAAACGTCTAATGAGAGCTGCTGGGCTCATTCTGATGGTCAAGATTTTCAGTAAAAAATAGAGTGATGTGTTCTTACTACCTGAAGAAATATGGCATTTGAATACCTGTGTACAACCTCATGTTGACAACTCATCAGATTAGTTAGATTAGTGTTCTGTGCATCATTTTGAACTACTATGGTGTTAATAAAAAAGGAAACTGAATTATTGAACATTATGAAGTTCTATGGGCATGTTGGCTTGTTTACTAGCCCAAAATTAAGTAGAGCTGCATATAATTCTTTTCAAACAATTGAATAATATTTTTTTTATATAGTGTTTAATCTATACAATCTCAGAAAAAGTGAAAAATTTCCCAAGAACCCAAGGTAACATTTGTTTTTCTTTTTTTCAGTCCAAATCCCAAAGGTATTCAATTTATAATGGCATAAAACAAAAAGTATGCAGCTTTGACAAGCTGGACACAGCTAACTGCTTGCTATGTTTGCTTGATAATGGACTGTCAGAATTATTGTGGACTAATTAATCTGTCCATGGATTTATCAATCCATCAACTAACTGTTTCAGCACTAGGAAAAAGTAACACTAAGCTGTGAGGCTTTAATGCTCATTACAAAGAAAACTACATTGCTGCATGAATGAAAAATCAAGAGACAACAATCTTTATCACAGAGGGGAAAATAATGGCCTGAGGGCAGTGCCAAAGGAAAAACCATGTTAGGGGTTTATCTGTAGGCTACGATGGTTATTTTAGAACATCTCAGACTTAACTTGTCAGTCTCAGCTCCACATTGTCAGTCTTAGCGCAGCTTTCATCTACACTGTACTATTTTCATGGTGTATTCAAGCAGAAAGCCTTGCGACAATTGTACAAGCAAATGTACTGACTGAACGGTAGCTGTAAGCTAGCTAAAAACAGACACACCAACTGTGTGTGGGAGTGTGCATTTGTATGTTTGTGTTCAGCTCAGACTGACTGAACTCAGCACTCACCAGAAACTCTGGTTACATTTTTTTCTTCTTTTATGAAGCAGAGATATAAAGCAACATGGTTACAATTTCAGTGCTAACATGCTAATGTTTAGCAGACATAATGCTAACCATTTTCATTATCTTAGTTTAGCATATTAGGATTTGTGCATGCATTTGGTCATAGTCCAAAATATTGGACAAATAAAAACACTGACCTGATGGCACCAGTTGAAAAGTGAGGGAGTCATTAAAGTTTTTACAGATCATATTGTAACATGAATATCAGCACCAAACAGTGAGGCAAAGTAATTCAACGTAATGTCATTGTGACATTAGTGGAGGTTTGCATGGCTCAGTGATCTTTGATCAGCACTTTGATGCTTTATGAAGACAACCCCTGATTTCTCTGCTAATTTTCTATTCAGGTGGCAACGCATAATGAGTGTTTCCACTTTTGCCTTCATCTAGCCTCCGCTAACCCTCATTTGTCATAATAACACCACGTAAAAAACCAATAAGTAATGATTATCTTCCGTCAATTACCTACATTATGAATTATCACCAAAGCAAAAGCATTCAATCATATTTCCCAGAGAACTGTTGACGTGAACAGAAGAAATGCATTAGGAGAGAATAATTTGAAGTAAACGTTGAACGTATTTATCCCCCTGGTTGCTCCACTAATCAACATTCATCCCTGTGCAGCTACCATAACTAAGCTCTGATATACTGTATTATTGAAGAACAGAGGAGTGAGAGACCCATAAAATCTGCAGGCGACAGTAGCAGACACAGATTCCTCATAATGGTAATTATAGATTGGGCAGCAGTGAAATATGTTCCACAGTACGTGATGCAATTATTAACATCGGCCCTCTAACAGACAGGTTGCACCTGGGTCTCGCCAGTGACTGCAGTAATAAGTTTTAATCTGTTTTCATACACCACTGACGCAGCTAATGCCTCCACATGTCCTGATCTTTGTGCACCATCCAACGCAGAACATAAAATAAGTGGGACATAAAATATAGACAGTCCAGGCTGTAGCTCACCTACAGGAATCAGTACTTACTGTAATTATTCAACTCTAGATCTTTGCCCTATAATATGAGGAAAAACTAAAATTGAATTAACTATTTATTTGGCTATTATTTGACTGCAGTATATTTATAGCAGTAAGCAGCACTTAGTCCTTCAAATTTAAATTCAATGAGATTTTTTTCTACCATTTGGTGCAAGAGTTCAACAATCATTTATGGACATGGCAAAGAGATACCTTAAAGTGAGATGTTACACTTTACTGCGCATTCAGAACAAACGCGAAGTGAGGGTTGGGGGCAGCGTGATTACATACAAAGTCAATGCAAAGATGTGGTGAGACGCGTCAGGCGCATGACACTGTGTCGTGATAGCCAATCAGCGTTGAGACTGTCTGGATGTCACCTCTTTTTGCTTTTATGAAATTAACTGAGAAGCACTTGCGCTTCTCAGCAGCAGGCCACCATGTTTCCAGCTTCCACTGTTGTTATTAGCGTCAGTGGGCAGCCAGAGCTCTGTGATACTATTAATTCATATTGATATAAAAAACAGACAAAACTGGACATTGCTTGGAGGAAAGTAAGGCAGGAAGTTGAACTACCTTATAAGTTCAGTCAATTACTTGGCTCCAGCTGCCGTTGTACTTTACTTTGAACAAATTAGCAATTTAGGCCTGATCGATCTGAACTCCATTCAGAAAACAAACATTTTAAAAGCTGCTGTTCTGACAAAGCATGAATTCATATGTTTAACAAACAAGCAATCATGTTGTAGTCATTTTGCCATCATTAATGCAGATTAAAGCAAAATGACCTTCGTTTTGCTTTGCTGTTTTGGTAATTGGTACACTTTTAAATTGATTTTTAAAACAAAGTGATTTTCAAAAATGCTTAATTCAAAATTAACTTATTGGCAGTTTGATATCATTGATTTGGTTAAAAAAGTTTTAGAATGGACATCAGGTAGATCTGTGTCCCGTTTTGAATTAGCCCCAGCAGGATTATTTTTCAGATAGCACGTTCCTGTGTGCTCCTCTGTGCGCAAATCTTGTCCCGTGTTCGTCGAATTGTCATTGGCAAGTTTGCCGGTATGAAACAGGAGGATGGGAATCTAAAACTGAACATTAACTTGCTAATAAATTGCCTCATATATGTTGTAAAACCTAACATAGATGTATTATAATAATATTATACTGTACATACATTAATACATTCAAATGATAGACTGTGTTAGGAGTCTTTTTAATGATTCAAGGGGCATGATACTGGTAATGTCTACCCTGTGTTTATGAACAATATTACTGATTATATTATTCCGTGACTGTTTCATCTGTTTTCATCTGTTTTTAAGTCATAAACACAGGAGAGAAAAACTATTTAGATCTGACTAAACAAAATGAGCACTACAATGTTTATGTCTCTGACTTTTGCCTATCAGGGTTTCCGCAGCATGGCCTGCTAGTGTGAAGTACAACATACAACACATTCTATTAAGACAGGGCTGAACACACTTCACCACAGCATTATCTTACCCCTGTGAAATTAGAGGGTATAGATTCATAATAACAATAATAATAATTATAATAATAATGCTCACAAGACATCTTCTATGAACCACTATGAAAAATCCATCAATGGGTAAATATAGATTGTTAATACTATAAAATCTCCCCAGAAAACCTACGGCCAAGAGGTGATTGCTTTCATGAAAAAATATTACTGCCAAGAGAGATGGGATTCACCTTTTAATCCGACCACAAATTGATTGCTCTCTGTGGATGGATGGAGGTATAAATTAGTGTAACAGGCTAAGCTTTAAATTTAGGAAAAGTGGGCATGCTGTCCTGAAACGGGATGCGTCAAAAAAATCACAAGGACGTTTTGTGAGTCTTACGGCTGTTGCTGTGGTCATCAACCAGTATGATCTCTTTGAGCAGGTGTGATGGAGTCCTCTGGATGGCTGTGTGGACGGAGCGCAGTAACACCGACAAGGCCTCGTTGACGAAGATGAAGATGACGCTGAGCTGAGGAAGATCTGATGAATATGACATGTTTCTGCACCTGAGGGTGTGTGTGGCGGGGGGGAGAGAAACAGACAGAATTTCTTTGGTGTTTCTTAAGAGAAAGATTCTCCAAATTCTACTGTAACCCTAACACCTTTAAGACTTAAAACGACATCCTATCATTAAAGGTGGCAAATACCTCATACATCTTCAACAATGAGTCACTTAACATAAATAACACATCGATCAACTGACTGACCCGTCCGGTCGTAAATCTGGGATCGGTCGGGTGAGAGAAATGCGGTCGCTAAGGTAGCTGTTGTAGCCATAGTAACGGAATTTCCTGAAGGCCACCCTTCGACTCTCGGGGCCCAGGTCGTGACCCCAGTGGTCGAACAGCGAGGAGGCGGAGGCTATGTCTGAGGAGGATGCAGCGTCTTCTCCGTCCTTCTGAGGGGTATCTGTAGGAAGGGAGGAAGAGAGGTTGGACAAACAGCTTTTTAATGGAAACATATTTCCGTATTTAAAATTTTTCTGTTATCTCCTTGGCCCATCACTAACCATTGTGCTGCCAGACGCTCTGACAGCTACCTGATGTTACACTATAGAGAAATTTAATGACAAATGAACTTCCTTCAGCTCTATTCACAGAGCTTTGCAGGAAAAATGACTGTGACCCACGCTAAGTATGCTGTGGTTATCAAACAAAACCTGTTTGCTGTGGGCTGAAAGAATCATTTCAGCTGTACAGCGGGGGAAAAGGATGGAACACAAATGGGATGCGCAATAACAGGGATTTTCATTGTCATTACAAATAACTCATTCAGGCAGCCGCGCCGATCTGTTTCTGCAGAGGTGGACACAAATCCGTTAACATGGCCATGGTAACATTTTTTTATTAGCACTGTAGCTCACTGTTCTGCGCTACGTGTGCAACACTGAGCCGCTTCCCATGCATGGTGGAAAACAATGAGTGTACAAATCATGCTTGAGGCCTGTTAGGGGGGGGGGGGGGAACATTTGCAAGCAACAGAAAGCTTAGTTGGTGGGATTTTTTAAAATTATAGTATACAAACAGTATGCACTTATTCTTGTTAGTCCTGATTGGAAACACGGACACAGAGTGATGTTTTGCAGCTTCCCTGTCACCTGTGTGACAGATTCGGGGCAAACTAGCAGTAGAATGTGTTTGTCCAATTCACTGTAAGCTGGAGATCAACTGTGAGAATGAAAAATTCTTGAGATATGAGATATGAGGCATCCTAAAATTCCTGACCCTGGTGTACAGGTGTTGAAAAGGTAGAAAGTGCTCTAGCCATAAAAACAAAAATTTAAATCTACAGGATGAGAGTCCAGATCAACTTGTAAGTCATTTCTACATTCACGTTCACAACTGAATGTCTTGCCAGAAAAACTTTCACCACCCTTATTAGCCGTACTTGTTTTCTCTCAGGATGGTCTGAATGCTTAAAGAACATTATTGTCTCTTTTCCTGTCAGGAAAAAACTATAATGATAGTGTAGCAAGAGAAACTGTTTTGGACATATTTGTGGAAACAGTGTCAAAGCTTCAAGCCTCTAAGTGGGTGTTTCCCACGACAGCGTTGACAGACATCTGAGAGTTGGCATTGCTAGAAAAGCTTTGTAGCTTACATGTTCCACACAGTGCTGGTTATGTACCATTGGTGCATTGGTTTGTTTGTAATTAGCTAAACCATATTTTTATATATAGTATTTCATAAATGTAATTATTTAGAATAAAAACAACTTGCTATCACTGCAAAACTGTTTGTAATATTCCTTTTTAATTACAATTTTGAAAAATGAGTAAAAGAACAATTTATTTTAAATTTCAGTTTGGCTTTGAGATTCTGGCTCAAGTCTGTCAAACATCACTTTCTCCTCTCTTCTGCCTTCCAGTGCTTTATTTCCTTTCGGAGCTGAAAGTTTTTTTTTTTTTATCAGTCTGAAGAGCAGTACTTCACCCTTTGGCAATAACAAACTTAATGCTCTCGTGGGTGGAATGCCACCTCCCTCCAAGTCCCCTCAGAGCCTCATAATAAGCACCCTAAAAGCACGGCAAATGATACATTTTTCTTGGCTGCAAATGTATTCTGACGCACCTAAAGTTCTAAGGAGTTTTAAGTCACTTCATTTGGGCATCCTTTTGATTTGACATCTGAAAGAAAGAGGAATGTGGGTTGAATAAAGCTATTAATAATCATTGATGCTTTTAGTCAATGTGTTGTGCTTTTTAGCACTTGAGGACAGGAGCAATGAGGCCCTGTACTTTGAAATGTTTCTCAGTGTAGCCAAATTCTCATGAGGGAAATGGAGAGATGCATCACAGAGAAACTGCTCCTGTGTCGGTTTCTTGATGTTTGAGTCAAGAGCAGACGAACACAGGGAGTGTGTTGTGTCCTGCCCTGCACTGTGTCTGACATATTTCATTATTCATTACTAGGACCCCGCATGGCTGGACGGCATAGCGTACTTCAGCAGGAGAAGCCAGTGCGACTCAATGGAACAATGGTGTGAATGTGAGCGTGTATATGGAATACTGTACCTCCGGGTAATGAATGTCCACTAGTGTATGTGTAGGTACAATATTGACAAAGTGCTAGGTGCATGTGAGAATGTCGTAATTTAGCTTTGCATGTGTGTGCTTTACGGTGGGGCTGTCAGAGAAAATCAAATTATAACTACTAAGCAAGCACAATAGACAATAGATTCAACATCAAATAAATATGTGTTTTGTTCTGCTGAAATGTTATGTGAACACTGTGTTTGTGAACCTTTTTTTCCACGTTATATTTTGATGTGCCATATTATATCTTAATCAGGGAGTACATAAAATGATCAAATCAAAATCACTTCATATTTACATATTTCAACATGTGAACATGTTTTCCCGCAGCCATTGCATCGCGGCTTTCACACCACAACTATCTTCCTTCAGTTCAGATTAGTTCAATTTGTTATAAGTCCCAAGTGGGCAATTTGTGCTGCAGCAAGAGTAAAAAACACATGAGAAGAAAACATAATAAAATACACTATAGTATAGAAACATACAGCGGTTGGGTTGAACATGTGCGCAGGATGGCTTATACCAACGCACAGTGAGTCATTTAAGCGCATCTGAAGCAGGCTTTAAGCGTCCACTGACTAATGTCAACATCCCTAGCAACATAACCATTCGATGTAATACACATCACCATTAACAAAACATGACATATGTATGTTATTCTGTGTCACCACAAGATCAATACTACAGTATCGCCATCACCATCATCATCAGTATCACCATCTTTATCACCATTATCACATCACCATCGCCATCATCACCGTCATTATCACCACCATCATCTCCACAATTCATCACCAACGTAATGGATCTGATCAGTTGTTGATGGTCAACAACAGCAGCAGTTAACTCCTCCTGCTATTAGCATTGAAGGTTTGAATGGAGACAGGGGTGAAGGTTTTCTTATATGGCAATAGGGGCCTTTAAGCAGAGGCCAGATGGTAACAGCTTATACTCTGAATCAAGGCTAATCAAGCTGCACTAATCAATATTTTGATAGTAACAACGGATCAAATAACAATGTGCAATGTGAAAGTCACTTGTCATAACACCCACAGAGAATTATCACCCAAATCTGTGATTCCTGTCAGCTCTATGGAGAGTTTTGTGATCTTTTGACTCATTATTTTGGTTATCCGGCCCACAAGTTCTGCTGTCCTGAGTCTCGTTTCCAGATGCAGTGGGAAGCTGTTCAGCGAATAAGCTCTGATAAACTCAATGCATGCTTCCTTCCCACAGCAGGCAAAGTTAGTTACTAGCTGGTGAACACAGTGGAGCATTTAAAGAGCATTTCAAGAGCCAGATATTTTCCTCAGTAGTTGATCAAAAGAGTGAATTTTGGATTTGAAATGAATGCTAATGTTGCTCCGTGTGTGCTAATACGCTAGTGTTGTGTTTACAGGTTGTTCTGACTCCCAAAATTGACCCCAAAAAATCAATAATTACTGCTTCAAGAATAAATTCAAGATATGTGGTGTGAGTCGGTTGCTATTTTTAAAGAGTTCATTCATTTAGAAAAATATGGTTATTTGCATTCCTTGCAAGAGTCTCAAATGTGGAAAGAGTTCACCATCTGGGGAGCATGAATGCTAAGTTCATCTTACATCTTACTATTAGTTTTTGACATTCCTTGGTTACAGGTAGACATTTAGGCCTGATGGTGGTGCTAGAGGGAAAGTCCCTAAATAGTCATTACAGTTCAACCTCAGATTTTATATCAGTCTGGCCAGTACATGTCCAGATGTGTTGCTCTGGATCAAAATAGTAAACAAACTGACCAAATCGTCTATTCCCTGCCTCTCGATCTTTCCTCCCTACCTCATTTTTCACACTTGCAATTACTCACAAATTATCAATCCCCTTATCCCAACCTGACAGACCAGCTGGTAGTATGCACGCAGAGCACCTTAGGGGTCAGAGGTCAACCCCTACAAGTGCTACTCACTGTTCAGTCTGGCAGCATCCAGGACTGCATTGTGATGGTAAACAGTAGAACTTTGTGCTGCGATACCCTTGCTGGGGAAAGGTAATTGGCTGCCTGTCAATGTCTGCTCAGCTGTGATTACACACAGAACACACAAACACACACACACACACACGCACGCACACACACACACATAACGCACATATACAGACAAGAACGTTTCTGGACAATTCTGGAAAGAAAGTCTCCTTTTTTTTTTGCAAAAAGGATGGAAGGTACATTTGCTGAAAATAAACGTATCATCAATCTCAGACTCACGAAAGGCAAGAAAGAGAGCCCAAAAGAGAGAAAAAAGACAAAAAGAAAGGCGAGAGATAGAAGAGAATGAGAAAAGACCGGAGGACAGGAGAGTGACAAAATAAAAGTGCTAAAAGGATGTGGAGCAAGGTATGAGGGAGTGATTAGAAGGAGGAGAGGCAGAGAGAGTGATGAGGGGGACAAGAGAATAAAGGGGTTGTGACAGAAGGTATTCATCCCTGGGCATCTGTAAACTAGGCAGCCCAGAGCTCCGTCATGTCAGCTCGTAGAGACACACTCTTTTATTGGTTCAGACACTGAGACAGCTCTCTGTCCGCACACACACACACACACACACACACACACACACACACACACACACCATCACCTAATGGATTAGGAACAGGCCGCTCTGCTGGGTGACAAAGTGTCTCACCTTGTCCTCCAGTCACTTTATGCAGCATTGGCGTGCTGTTGGCTCAGCAGGCCAGACGCTGCACGCCAACCTGCAAATCCCAATCCCCAGCACACACTGTGACAGGGCCCCAGTCAAGACCACTGCAGTTCAAATATGAAATATATATATATATATATATATATATATGAATAATCAAAACAGAATATTCCAGACTAGCAACAGTGGGTGTAGGGAGTGTT